TGGATACTAACGGATTTTGGGCGCATGAGTTGATAAGGAAGCTCAGAGAGCTCATAGCTTGTACCCAAGCTCGGTTGAATGACAAAGTGGACGTGATATTCGTTTGAAAGATTGTCGATTTTAAAATTCCTGAGTCTTGAACCTTCGATTTTTTTCTCCAGTTCCACATATATCTGGATCGGGTATCCCTCCGCACGATGTAGATAATGATTGAAGATCTCAATCCTATCCTTGTTCCATCTTTCTTCAGTGTAGGCCTGGATATCACACCAAAGACTTGGGTTGCTATTCGCCACGAGCCTCCATGTCCGACAAACATGCGATAATATGAGTGTACTAGGTGGTAAATCGTCCAATATTTTATCTAGATAATCATCCACATCCTGGGACACTCGATGCCGAAATACCTGAGACAAAAGTTCTTCTGGAAGTCCAGTTGAAGGACAGTATTTGCTCATGAGACGAAACAAACTATCTTTTTACTTCGTAATGAATTCTTCACGGCTCGATATGGTCTCTTGTATGACCTCAAGAGCTAGCCGGCGGAATTTGAGCTCCTTTTCAATGCCTTCGACTTCGGCAGATAGCCTGGCTCTACGTACACTCTCCTCACGTGAGAGTTGGCGAAGTGCCTCCATGCGTCTATCTACGGTTGAAAGTCCTCGCCCTCGCATCCCCCGCGTCCCTCGAAGTGAAGATGGGGGGGAAAGGCCTTGGCCCCTTGTGTTTGTGAGAGGTGGCAATGTACCAACATAAAGCTCTTGAGCAACTTTGAATTTCTGAGCTGTTTCAAGGGTTTGCCCTAGTTCCTCTATTGCGTCGGTAATCCGCACTTTCTCTGAATGCGCTTGAAAATTATTCCTCTGTAGCACCTCGAGCTCTTTCTTGATATCAGTTGCAGCTAATTGGAGCAGTTGAATCTCTTCTATACTAGGCGTATCATCCAATTGGCTTGAGTACACGAAACCGTCAACGCAGACTTAAAATGTATCACTTTTGAGACTCACCCATACTTCTGCATGATAGTTTGTGCAACGTTTATCCTATCTCTCGGTGTCTCAATGAGATGAGGTATTTGTAGTGATAAGTAAGATGTAGCGAGAGTGAAAAGGCACGAGCTGAGCCACCAACGACCATGGCGGGCTCCCTATTGCCATTTCTGGAAATCTCTCTTTGCCCGTTCACCACACAGGAAAATGGGCCAAATTTAAGTACTTCCCAGAGTGAATAGAATAAATTGAAAGCAGTATGATAGCAATTACATGCGGTACAAGCTTCGAAAAACAGCAGTATCCTAATTTGACACTTCTAGCCAACCAACTGACTTGGCCGAGCTCTATATTGACACCGCGACTCGACCGACTACGTTAGATAATCGTTCGCGGTCTCTTTCCGTCATTCCAGTACAATCGACAAAGTGCATCTCTTCGATAGTTGCACCACTCCCAATCCCCTGTTCCACCAGATGCGGTAGGTACTCGTGGAGAGGCGAGCAATCGAGAAAACTCGACGAGAAGAATGCGTTTTTAAACTTGGTAGAGCGTCGGAGTATCTCAATTGCAAACGCAGAGGCTGAGTTGTCGGGAAAGGTATCGGATGGTTTAGGCCAACCTTGAATATGAAGCTTTGTTGCATTTTCGATTAATGAGGCGAAAGAATCCAGCAGCTTATCGGACGAATGGAATGGGGATGACGCTGAGTAGAAGATGGCAGTCTGCAAAGCTGGCAGCTGGAGAATATTCGAGATTTGTTGATGTGTGGGCGAGATCCCTAACACTTTGAGAGAGGGAAGGACAATCGGCTTTGTGGAAGCTGGAGGAATGGTGTGCTCGTCATTCAAGAGACGAAGTTCTTCGCAT